AAATAAATAATTATGTTATAATTGCATCTACTAATGCCATATCATGTAGTTTACGACCACTGGCGTACTCAAGGCAGGGTTGTAAATTAGGAGATAGATCCGTTCGTTGACAATGCTGTCTAGTAAAATCCCCATTGAGAAACTCGTGGTTATGCCACTGTTACCAACTATGATTTCAAAGATCCCTTTCCCTTGACAATATATATATTATAATACAAAAATGTAGTAAACCGCAAGAGACTGTCGAAAACAATATTTTCTAGAATTGACAAAGTCCTGTCTATATCACTGATCAAGGATCAAACATAAAATAACGTTTATAAATTAAAAATGTAAGATTAGTAATTAGCTCTTCTATTTCTCTAATAAAAATATAATACCTACCTATATCTGATATAATATAAATACAAAATATAATACATAAGACAAAGAACATTATAGGGAGAAGCGATGTCATACAAACAATTTTCTGTGTCATGTAGTCCTGATTATACAAGCAGAGTGGGTACTTAAAATTCATGTATGTTGGAGTTAAACATATTAACGTAATATAAAATTTAGTCTGATATAACAAATAATATAAAATTGCATTCCATTTAAAATATAATATTAATCATGTAACATATATCATACACAATAATCTTTTCAATCTAAACAGTTCCTAAACAAAATTCTTTTAATGAAACCAAAAACTTATCGTATTGCATTTACTTTCTTAATATTTGGGAAGATAAGAAGAATATTTGGGTATATTTGGGATATATATATATATTTTTAAAAAATATTTGATGTTGTAATGATATTTTTCCGTTTAGGTTAACCTTTAATAGACTATCGAAAGTTGCTTTATAATTAATAAAAAGGTGATGGCTGTCAATATCTACATTCAGAAAAATATGCTCTAAGCACATACTGGTTAAATTGATCTATTTTTTTTGTTTAAAATATTTTAGCTCATGTAGTAGAGAAGATATAAAATCCAATATGAGGTATGGTTGAACTAACATGATGTATTAACCCGAGTTTTAGTAAAAATCTGGTTAAATCAACTAAACTAGTTTTCTGAGTTTAGTTCGTAAGCTTTATCCAAGATTTGTCACAGTGTGAATATGTGGTGAATGGTGGAGCGACCATATAGAAATCTGCACTAATAACGCTCAAACAGTTAGTTGATATGTGGCTTCCATTTTTCACATAGTACAGTTTTTTAAATTGTTTTGTACTCAACAGATATTAGACTGATCCGGTGATCATAAACTACGATAATATCGTAGCGGGGCGTTAGCTTTTTGGCAAGGTGTTCACAATTTGATCAAAACAGAATTCCAACTATAACGTATTCCCCCTACTTTTGAGTTTTATCCTTTCCAAAAGCAAATAGCGTACAAGGCCAACAAAACAATTTATATAAATTTTCGCAGCTTGTGATCCACTGGTTTTCATGGTAAATAGCTGTAGGAAAACGGCGACTTACCACAGATTTCGACATTTTTACATCAGGCACCAAATTCTTCATATCTGGAATTGGTCTTTTCATTTCATGAATTAAAACCTTTTTTTTCAGAAGATCGTTTAAAAAAAGATATTTGAATCAAATCTTTAATCACACATTTAACCATTTCTAAATATTATTTTTCACTTCAAATTTCTTTAATTTTTTTCTTTACTTTTATCATTTGCTAGTATAAAATTGCAGTAGTGACTTTGTTTTTGGTTTATTTCCAACCTCTACATAAGAGTAAGAAACTCTCATGCATTCATTCACTCTTTTACTTTGTAATTACTATGCGCGGTTCAGTTTTTTTACTGAACCATTTGCCCATATAAAACGGTAACCGTGACTTTTATTGTATTTGCACGCTTTGTATGAACTTGCGGTTCAATTTGGTTGAGTGAACCTCTAGTCAAATGTAAAGCGATTTTCGCTCAATCATTTCTTTTCTCTTTTGTATTTACTTTGCATAACATTGGAAGTTCACTTTTTTTATTGAACCGCTTGCACGCATTAATGTAAGAGTTATAATTATTTTACGTACTTATTTTGCGGGGCTTGTTTCTCTTTTATTTTTATATTTGTTTGTATGTTTTGTGTTTATTCAATACTGAACATAGTCCCAATGTGAATGTTATTTCATTGGCATGCTTTATAAGCAGTGCGGTGCATTTTTTATTCTGAACCTTAGTATATTTTAAGAGGAATTTATTTGAAATAAATTATTTCTATTTTATTAATTATAAATAATGTTGGTGTAACTAACATATGTATGCGTGGTTTTGGTTGTATTATACGTTTTGTGTTTATGTTAATATGTTTGGAAAAGCTATTATAAAAAATGTTAAATAGCAAAATAGCGAGATTATTTACCTAATAAAAAAAAATCTAAAAAGGAAGCTTTGTTAAGGTGTTCTGTGAACACTCTGAACCATTCGACGCCTCGCCTCTGATATATATATATGTATTTGCGTAATTCGTGTGTGTTCTCCAATTTAAATATGGTTAAACGAATTAATCATTAATTTTACAAACAGTTTCTATATAACAACACAGATTGTATGACACAATATAACGCTTTGTATATACATATGTAAATTTATTACTAATAACTCTCACAAGTGTAAAAAATATTCAGCACTTTGCGCTTAATCGAATATAAATTAAATAAAAATTATTATGTATTTGAAAATGTAATATAAATAAAATAAAAAATATAAAAATGCAATTATTCATCACAAACAAAAACTAATCAGTTTATATAATTAAAACAGATATTTCTGTTGACTTTGTAGACTTTCTCCAGTATTATAAAGTACACTACTATAACATAAAATAAGTATATAAAATAGACTATAATATCTGTTATACATAAACGAACTCTGTAATTTTTATTTGAAATTAACAAATGAAATAAGTATTTTTATTTATATATTTTATTTTTTTAATATCATATTAAATAATATTATATAAAAGATAAAATGTTCTAAAGCATAAAAAAAATACCTATAAATTTTTTATGTTGATAACAATGATTATAATAAAAAAAATATTTTAATTAATTTTTATATGTAAATTTTTATATATAAATTTTATATGTTATATGTTAGTCATTTTGGATATCTTCAAAGCGATAATAGATGTCTAAAGCATACGAGTAGTTTTTTGGAAAAAGTATTTAAAATTTTTATTTTTAAAGTACGAAAATAAAATAAAAATAAAATTATATAAATTAATAGAATAATAGAAAATAAAATAAAAATAAAAACTGAAAATACCACTATTACATACAGTACATATAAGACAGGGCAGCTGTGAATTGAGCAGTCCAGAATATTTAAATTAAACGATATGTATGCTATATATGTAAGCATATTTCATATCAGTAACTCTGTTCATAGTTTATATAAAAACCTCAGTGCGATCTTTGAAGTAGTTAAACTATTGAAATTGTCCATAAAAACAATTAGATAATAATAAGACCCCACTCTTTAAATGACTTTTCCCTATTGAATTAATAAATACTTCATCGAAAGCGTTTTATGGCTGATCTAGCGATCCTCTCGGAATCACAGATAAGCTACACTAAAATTGTACATACACTTTTATATTGCTTCTAATGGATATTATATCAAAAAATTTATAATATAAAATCACTTTACATTTATTTTTTCCGCGCTCTTTTTGATTGGAAAGTATTTCTACTATTGAAAGTAATGTACACCATCGATATGGTCCAGCCCATTTGCTTATTTTTTATTACTTTAGACATATATTATGCCTTATTTATTGTATTATACAATAATTTTTAAAGAATCTTTTTCTTTTTATTTAGGATAAACAAGGAACAATCATACTACATTGATATTATGTGTAAAATAAATGGGTAAGTATAATAATACGGAACTCAGGAAATAGTCATAGGTTATGTGAAAATCTATGCACAGTAGACACTATGTTTTAAAATCCGTCATTCATTTTTCTACTATGTCATTTTATTGCTCTAGAATACTCTTACCTGGAGGTGCTGTACTTTTTGAGAAACATGAGAAATATAAAAACGATTGCATTGAGAGTGCAAAATTAATTTTTGAGATAGCACGGAAACAAATGGATCTTCCAATATTTTGTATTTGCTTAGGATTTCAATTAATGTTCCTACACTCAACCACGGGCGATGACACTAATACAAGACAGAATTGTGCTAAAGTAAATGGTTCCATGAATATTATTTTTGAAGAAGGTAAAATTAAACAAATTATATTTTCTAAAATATATTCTCAAATATATATAATATTTAATTTAATCGAAAAAAAATTATTGTCATAGAATATAAAATTTTTAATTTTAATTTTATATTTTATAAAGATTTTATTATTTTTATATTGCTATATAAATTAACTTGTTTTTTTAATTATATATAAATATATTATATATAACATATATAATTAAACTATGAAATAAATTCACTATAGTTTAGTTACTTGAGATATATGAGGCCAATTATTGTATACGTAATACTGGCTACTTATTGTTAGTTTAATCCAGGGCTGTCTAAAACACGGCCCACGGGCCTCATGCGGGCCGCGACATGTTTCTACTCTACTATAATTAGACAAATTTTTCTTTGTTATATTTTTGTAGCATCACATTAATTAATTTTTGTGGCATTCTAAATAAATAAATTAAAATGTTATTAAAATACTTTATTACATTTCACGTTAATTGATTTAATTGGCATGGACTTTAGTATATATTTCTTTGTATAACATCTAATATTAATACTGCTGATAGTGATAGAATTGTAACAGATAATGAAGACTTAATAAAACTAAATTTATCATTATCGCGTTATTTTTATTGTTCTTCGCAAATAGTATGAACGTATGTATGTATTATTTCTGCGGGCTTCCAACCTATTTAGGGATTTCTATTGGCCCGCGTTCTTATCTGGTCTGGACAGCCCTGGTCTATTCAATGTAAAATATTAATTGACGCTAGATGGTACGCATAGTTTTGTTAGTAAAAACTTCACAATTTTCAGCCTCGATATGTTGAAAATAAGTAAAATAGATTTAGATCGTAGTGGAAATAGTTGACTTTATTCAAAACTCAAGGACGATTCGACGTGCTAGGGAAATCGGAAAAAGATCTGAAATATAGTTGAAAAATAATTTACAATCAATTATTTCTTCATCGCTTATTATTTAAAATTGTTCTTAATTTTTTTTTTGTTTAGATTTTCGTAACTCTAAATTATTTTCCAAATTGAGTCAGGAACTGGAGAGCCAAGTACAACAAGAACGATGTGCACATCATCATCACCAGTTCTGTGTCACTAAAGAGGTAAAATAATTTTGTTAAAATTATTAAAATTATATTAAGTATTGTAACAAAATTTTAATGAAAAAAATTAGTAAATTATTAATAATATAATTTTATAAAGCAGTTATTTAACTATTAGAACGAATATTGTGCTTATTATATATTTGCAAACGAATAATTAAAATCCCTTGTTTATAAATGAAAAAACATTAAGAGGTTTATGCACAAGCGGAAGAAATACCTAGGAGGGTATTTCATGGATCATAAGGATCCAAGATTAGAAAAGATAGGCTCTATACTGTCTTTCATTGAAGAAATCGGACTTGGAGAAACACTCTAATTCGGCTAAGGGGCACAATAGATCTTTTAGGTCGCAGTGCACGACCTAGAAAAGAGGTTGAATAAAATGAATAAACGTTTAATTTAGTATAAAAAAAGAAATAATTTGAGTTTTATATAATTTGATTTTTATTTAGTTTTAATTAAATATTTAGTTGATACCAGATTTATATTATATACTTATGTCTTTTAAAATAAATTCATATTTATTTTATTTACATATTAAAGTCATAATGAAATCACTTTGTATATGTTTATTTTGTTTCTTGTTTTATTTTGTGTTTTTATTTTTGTTATATTATATTCAGATATTTTACTTTATTTTAAGTATATAATAATTGAGTTATATCTTTATTTTGGATATGTAGTCGTCTGGTAGAGTATCAATATATCACATATATTATTTATTGATTTAAATATTATATTTTAGATATATTTTATACTAAAATACATATTAGTTAATATATATATATATAATTTATTAAAATTTTATATATTATTTAAGAATATTAAATTAGGCATTTTTCCTATTATTCTTTTTAATTTCTATAGATTTTAAAAACATATAATATAGATGATCAATGGAAAGTTTTAGCAACTCAACGAAATATAGATGAAACTGACTTTATAACAATTGCTGAGCATAAACAGTACGTAAATCATGTTTTAAATTATTAATTATAATAATCTAATTAATTAATAATTAATTATTTATATTCATTTCTTTATCTTTTTTACATATTTTTTTAACAAAATGTTTTTTTTTCATTATTTTATTTACGTAACTCTTAAAGTTTTCCCTTTTTTGGCTGTCAATTTCATCCAGAACGTGCAGTTTTCGAAGATGTTTTCAAAGATGATTCTATGCATTCCGAAACATCTATAAAATTTGCTGAATATTTAATAAATTTTTTTATAACAGAGTGCGGAAAGAATAGTAATCGTTTTTTAAGTTCAAAAGAAAAGGAATTATGCTGTATTCAAAACTTCAAAGTGACTGACACAAAAGATTTGGGAGGACGCTGGAAGGAGTGTTATATATTTGAAGAAAATATAAATTACTCAAATTCGTGATAATTTTATTATTTTTAGCAGTTTTTTACCTTAGTTTTGTTAAAAATAATATATATTTGTTATCATATATACAATGTTTATAAGTTATTTAAATTATAATATATATGTGTTTTTATAACCACGAAAAATTTTCTTTTTATTGCCCCTATAAATATGCAAAAGAATTTGTTAATTGTTGATGTGTTCCTTAATATAAAGATATTTTTATGGAAGAGGCAATAAAACTGTGTAAAGTAGGTTCTATGCTATTTATTATTGACGGGCTTAGAAACTTACTCTAAGCCCAGAAGAAGCAGAAGAGACCCTTCGGTCGCAGTGCCACATTCCTTAACAATAATAATAATATAAAGATATGTACTGCAAAAATTATTACATGTGGAGGAGAAAGAGTAAGAAGATGATGGTGAAGAGGAGGAAGGGAATGAGGACAATAAGAAATTTTAATAAAATAAAGAGACAATATTACTAAGTTGTTCCAATTTGATGAGACTCTTAGTACTATATACAATAATAATTATCAATAATATAATAAAAGAAGTGTGACTTTAATTCACAGTCTTTCTTATATATATTTTACTAGAAAATAATCCCAATTTATACTTTTTATACTCATTTATACTCATCTTTAAATTTTTTTTTGGTTAAAGAAATAATTTTTATCAATTGCTAATTGTTCATATCATGATTACCTGTTGATTGCGATTCTTTATGATGTTACTGCCAATAAAATAAATTATCTTTAAGTTAAGTAAATTTCCGTCCATAACTCAGTTGAAACAATTGCAACATTAAGTCAACGAATAATTTAAGTTGCCCACAACAACAACAATTGTAACAACTGTAATGGCTGAAATATACAAATCAAGCGCTCATCATTTTAATCAAATATCTCTTATTTGTCAGATACATTTCTTTACCGTATCATATAAAAGTATTTTTCCACTGTTTCTTTGAGTTTTTGATTTAATTTGTATTTCATTTGAATGCGCTACAAAGAAAATTCTGACCTTTGGTTAGTGAGATGAGATACATGACATATTGTTTATATTATTAACTATGATTTAAAAGAAGAAAACACTTTTTCTACGTAACTAAATATGGTAGGAAGGGTTCTTGATTAATTAATATAGTTAATATAATATATTAATTCTAAAATTTATATATTAAAATTTGTTTATTGATTTGTAAAAAATAATGTGATGAAACTGTAATGCAACATACTTTTAGCTTGATTCATATTGTAATAATATATTTTTTATATATGAAGTTTTAAATAAAATTCAGAACTGTCAAACTCCAGATCAAACAAAACTGTGATCTGGAGTACAGATCACATTACCTTGGTAAGTAAGAGAGCTATAAATTTGCTTTTAACAATTAGAAAGAAAACGAGGAATTTTTTTTGGCGTCTTACCTGCAAATGATCTGAAAACTGTAGGGTATCTGTATCTGTAAGTTATTAATAGCCAACTCCATATAGTTTTATCAGTTATTATTTCATAGCTAAGAGTTTGTCAACTACCAAGTTCTATATACATGGAGATCTTTTTGATCACATTGATTAAAATAAATTTTATTAAATGATATAGTTTTTTCAGACTAATACATAAAAGAACTTGATCTTATTTATTAGAATCAAGTTCTCATATGAGTTCCGAAAATGACGTTTAGAGTTCATTTTCAAATGGACATTTACTTAATGTAGTGTAACTTTCTAGTCACTTCGCTTGCGACTTCCGTTTGCAGTTCTTTCCATCAAAGTCCATGCATTCCTTCTCCTTTTATGTTTCTATTTGATTGCTGCCGCTAAATCACACGCTGTGTAATAAAGTGAAATATCTTTTGGAAATTTTCCTCTATTGTCCAATTACAATACAAAGAATATTTTCATTAATTTCTGCTTTTTACTTAATTTGAATTTGCACAAATTTTATTATGACAACGAGTGGTTTTGAAAGAGTAAATATTATTCTTTTACTTAGAATAAACAATACATAAAAAAATAAAAATAAATATTAGTACTAAAAACAAAAACAAATAGATGTTTTTCTTAAATTAATTTATATTAAATCATTCCCATATAAAATATTTGTTTTTATCTTTAAATGAATTCTACATTAATTAGAATAAGTTCAAAAGTTAACACTTATACTGTAAAAAATGAGAAATAAACAAATTTTTGTTTAATAAATATTAATATTATCAAAGATAGAGAAGTAAAAACTTTCACACCTCAGATATTTTTTCATAAAAAATGATTTATTAGAAGTAGAAAGTTCCTTCAAATTTTGATTTTTAAATCATAAAGAACTGAGATACCAAAAAAAGAAAAGATTCGTAACCTAAAGAAAGTGAGTGAATGGGTGAGGGAGGTGGAGAGGGAAGAGTGAGAAAGAGAAAGAGATTTCTAAATCATAAAGCACTGAGAACCAAAAATAGAAAAAATTCCTAACCTAAAGAGAGAGAGAGAGCGTGGGTGAGGGAGGGGGGTGAGGGAAGAGTGAGAAAGAGAGAAAGATTTCTAAATTATAAAGAACTACGAACCAAAAATAGAAAAAATTTCTAATCTAAAGAGAGTGAGTGGGTAAGGGAGGGGGAAGGGAAGAGTGACAAAGAGAGAGGGAGAGAGAGAGAGAGAGAGAGAAAGAAAGAGATAGAGACAGAAAGCGAAATAGAGAGATAAAGGAGATGATACATAAAATTGATAAATTCGATAGGGCTTAAAGAAGAAAAAATCACCAAAACTATTTAATATTAAATATTGCAAGTAAAAAGAAAAAGTTTTACATGGTGGTATCCTAACCATAATGTCTCTAATTCTGGTTTGTACCGATTTGTATGAAGTGTTTTTAATATTAAAAATTTTTAAGTTAAAGGTATATATTAATCGCTTAAAAAATTGAGAGGAAAGTACTTAAACGTCAAGGGATAATAAATCAATAGGACTTAAATTTGTGTTAGCACTTAAGCAAGAAAACAGAGGAGAACCGTTATTTGGAGTAAAACTGTAACTGTGACACATAATTGTAATTATTTATGGAATTATTTGCGTATTTATGAGTTGAGAGTTGCTGTTAAGCACTCAGCTATATCCTAACCTCAATTAAGCAAGGTCAATTCATGTTGCATAGGGATAGATGTTTTCTTCCTAAAAATTTTAGGCGAGGCCTATTTAAAAACTTTTGTTTGTATTGTTTAACCGTGATCTCAAGACCTTGTCAGAGCCATTGAATCTAGGTTCTAAGTGCCATTCGTACTTCTAAACTAAGAGGAAAAGATAATCATGATTTAGTTGTAATATTTGTTGTATAGTAATATTTGGAAGGTTTAGTGAAGCCAAGTATTTGAAATGAATTTTTAATTTCAAATATTTGGAAATATGTAATAATAATTTTAAATATTTAAAATAATTTTAAATAATTTATATAATTTTAAAATATTTAATAAGAAAATATTTGATCAAAAAAGTTTTAAAAGAACTCGGACACTTACCAATATCACCCAAAACGTTGTCAATTTCTGTTAAACAAGTTGAGGTTGAAGAGATAACAATTATATAGTGTTCTTTTTGTTTAATATTTAAGTGATATATGATGTTTTCAATTTTCAGTACTTCTTCTAATAAATTTGTAAATTTAGGCATATATAATATAAATTTAAACTTATATGGAATGGTCTAACTGTTATTAACCATTACACCCAAATATTTTTTTATACAATTTTGTCGTCCTCTCTTCAATCAATTTGTGTCACCTTTGACCTAAAAAGTTTAACTACTTTACTTTAATATTTCTTAAAAAATATTATTATTATATTTTTATAAGCAAAATTATATTGAAAATAAGATATTAAGAAGACAATGAAATTAATGAAAATAAATCGAGTTTATTTTAACATAAATGAAATGTGAATAAACTCATAACGATTATTATATTACGTTTAAATGGTTCATTGGATATAATATTCAATATTTACTTGTAATATTATATGATGCAGTTAAAGGCAAACAATAACAATCGCCATTGATATTGTAAATGACGTCACTGGAAGAAATTTTTTATGAAGTGACTAAAAATTTGAACTCAAAGCAAACATTAAACCTAATTTCTTTACACATCTGAGTTGCCAGCAAATGTACATTAAAATATTAAGAAACATACACGATACACATAAGAATAATAAAATAATAACAATAAACATATACGCCCACTTACCTTTGTAAGAAACTTAAGGATCTTTGCATGCATTTATTGGACGAAACCGTGAAATCAGGGTGTAGACACACCTTGGAACAGAAGTGCATACGCAAATGAATATTGGTGTTATTGGTGTCCATTGAGCGTAATAATACTTGGAATTACCTAAAAATAGCTCAAATGGCATTCATTGGCATCAAATGTTTGCTGGTGTTAATGGAAACGTCACTGAAGCCCTACATATGGTCGGCAGGGCTTGTTTTGTTTTGATTGCTTGGTAACGGCATATCTTCGCATATGGCAAAGAAAAAGGTTAAAGTTCAATAAAATATTAATTTTTTATTTGCTACAAAAGATGAAATAGACCGATCACATTTATGAACTTATTAGTCTTTGAGTGCTAATTGTTCATAATAATTTTATACATAAACACCTACTACTAATTGAGTATGCAAATTAAGAAGCAAACATTTGTTGACTTGTATGAATAACAAAAATATTTACAAAATAAATCATATTTATTAATCATATCAAGTATCTTCTTTGATGTGTTCAACTTGTCTTCCTCAAAAGCATTTTTAATATACCGGTGTCTATGGCAGAAATTCAGATACAGGAAGAAGTTGGAATGAAGAGCACACGTGTTGCTATTGCAATTCACATCTTCACGGCAGATTTCATTGCCCATTTCAGCGGCTCCTATGTATTTACATCGAATTGTAATTTGTCAAAATATTTTGCAAACTTATTATAACAAAATTTTTATTTCAATCCTCAGTGGAGCACTAAACAAAGCATTTGTTACTAAAATATTT